ACAAACTATTAACACAAATGTGAGTGGACCGTTTCCAACATAAATGCACAAATTTTTTTACTGTGTATTATTTTATACAATAATCGAGATCTTTCATAAAACCAAAGTATTTTATGAAATTATTATTAACTTATGTACATGAAACTTATACAATAATTATATGCAATAAATATAAATATGTAATTAGTAAGATTAATATATAAGAATAGTATGTAAAGAATAAATTATTTTTTATTTATCTGCTATTAGAGTGCAAACACAATAGAAGGAATAAGGAATAATGATTTCAACCTCTTAAAAGAAACTGTGTATTTCAGTATATCCAGTTTTTGATAGGTTAAAATCATCATTTCTTATTCCTTCTATTGCGTCTGTACTCTTATTCTTAACAATTATAGAAGTTGTAATTGTTTATTTTAAATATTCTTCAAATTAACGATTTGATATATTAAATTTTAAAAAACGCATTTAATACGTGATTTTGATGTCAATTGTTTAATAATGCTAAATTAAGCAAAATGTAAAAAAGATGTAATTATATTGCATATAATTTATAGATATGTAGAAATATCTTCTTTTCGGCTGTACTATTTTTTTTTATTTTTAATAGTAAGATTTTTATCTTCATGTGTTTATTATCATAATAAACATCTATTTTTTTTCATTTATCACATCAGTTTGAACGTTTGTCGCACAGAGTACAGCTAAAAAGAGAGTAAACTTTTAGAATAATCTATATGTCATCTATACATATGTATCTGCGGCTACGTATCGAGGGTTGATTTGATGGAAGCTGTGATGCGAAGAGGTGGAGCTGAAGAGGCCGCGCCACTTTACCCCTCTTCGCACGAAGTAGTGGGGCGACGACGTATCACACTTGTCTTCTTTTCTTATCTCTTTCCAGACTTCATCCAACCACGTCGCAGATGGAGTGGGGAGCGTTATGCGTCTTCTTCCTTGTGCAACGTATGTACTCCACGTTCTTGTTCTTTCCTCTCGCTCCATCTGTTTGTCCACATCGCCAATAGTCATTTGCAAAATTTTCATGTAACAAACGAGCAATTTTAAGCGATAAAAACGTACACTATCCGTCCCCTTTTGATGGAAATAATCAAGTTCGCGATCTGAAGGTCGAAAAGCACAAGCGAATTGTAATATTCGATGAAAAGCTTCAAAGATTCAAAATAATCATCTTCTCTTGTAATTACTTATTTTTTTTTTTTTATTAAATTTTGTTCGATGTATCGCAATTTTTTAACAGTAGAATAGAATATTTGTGATCTGTGAATTATGACGTTACGCTACGAGAACAATATGGAGTCTCGTTCACTCTTGATCCGACGTGACGGCGGCTCGCACCCGGCGTGCGCACTTCCGGTACGCTGCGGCGCGAAAAGCGCGGAAACACGATGGCGGAGAATCACATCGCGAATCCTCCTCGAACTGTTCTTCGATTCACTTTGGTCAAACTTGATCACCTGGTCTATCCAGCAACAGGAACAAACGGCGGGCGAATACGCGTTATTTATGTAGGTCATGTTTGTATCTCGCGAGGAGCAAAATGGCGGGCGCGCGGATGCGAGAGAAAGTCACGGATACGGAGGGTCGGTGCAGGAGGCTGCGTTACACTGCAGTCCGGCGCTCACCGGACCTTCACTTATATCGTCGCTCGGCTAATAACGCTAGTAATGTGATATGATTAGCTTAGTTGAGTTCAGTTTAGTTCGTATTCGTTCAATTTAGTGGTTCGCCAGCAAAATCACATCGAGTTAAACCCATTTAGGCCAGTTAAGTTACCGACTTCTCCTCGTTCTCTTGCGGTCGCCGCCGCCACCGCCGCCGCTGCCGCGCATCGACCTCCTGGGGCCCTCTTCGACGCACAGAAATATCCCGAAACACCCTAAAACATCCCGCATGAGATCTGCTCTCGTGCTCTGCCATGAAATTGAAAATTAAGCCGCCGCAGGAGGTCTCACCATTGAAACACCTTGCCCACTAACAATGACTCGGGAATTGATCTTCTTAACAGCTTAGAAGTACAATCTAAGAAACAAAAGGCTTTTATAAGTATAATCTAGTCTAGAAGAAGAATACTACATATTTTACATTTTTTTTATATCTAGAAAAAATTTATAATTCTGAGAAATTTATGTAAGAAATAATGATACTTCTAACAATAATTAATTTTTGTAAAAATATTTTAATATTTCTGCAAATTTCTGCAAGAGAAAGATCTGTGTATACATATAATATAGATATATATTAAAAAATATGTGTAAATATAATATATCTATAATATTAATATATCTATAATATGTTTATATCTATAATATAATTTTTAAAAAATTTTCTATTTTTTTAAAGTTCTATGATTTATTGGTCGAAATTGCAATGACAACAAGAGTTCCTAGAGAAATTAATTGATATAACGTCTAAATGTTTAGATTGAACGATAAACTGCTGTCATAGATTTATGCGTTAAAATGGCGAAACGATGGGTCACAATGACGTGGTCGCCCGCATTATCGCACCTTCTCGCGCGTCCTGAAAGTTTTTATTAATTATCATATTCCCCTCGTATAATTCCTTCTGTTGATCCTTTTTCGAGATAAAAATGGTCAATAACGTGTATGTTTTAACTTAGATATATCACAAGTAAAATAAAATTCAATTGTATAATGTACAATTTGAATACTTATATTGAAATACTTATAACAATTAACAATGCGGAAGTAATAGCTTAATTTTAGACAGGTAGAACAACAAAGAAAGGAATGTGAATACAATTTTAGAACTATATGAAACGTTTTCTTATTTTCATCATAATTTGCACTCCTCTTTCTATCAAATTTTTTTATTATAAAACTAATATATTATACAATTTTAATACATTTTATAATAATTTCAGATCAATATTGTTATATATTTAATTATTATTTGGATGTTATCGCATCTTTTAATGTATCTGCGTAACAAACAATAAGTAATAAACCTGCAGAAATAATTTTTTCGAAAGATATTAAACTTATTATTTATAGCTTCAAATATATTCTTAATAAAGCAATTAATAACAGAGAAATAGATAAATCTAATACACCAGTAAAAGTCAATAAAAGTAAGATAAATTAAATAAATTTTAAATGAATAATTCGTACCCAAGTAGTGGAGGTAATGAAATCGAGCAGGGACAAGATAATACTGAGAAGATGATTAGGGTTGATCGGAGCGATGGGCCATCAGAGTGGAGAACGCGATGAAATCGGCGCGTATACAAGCGCGCGCTAATTACCAACAACGAAAATTAGCGGTTAATATATACGCGTACACGTACGGGGAACGGGGGGTGGTTTGATTGGGCCAATTCGAGGCAATTCCTGGCGATTACTGATTTCATTGAGCTTGCGCTTAAGAGTGCTTGGCTCAGTGCTACGCCAACTGCCGACCAACAGAGACATGGATCTCTTCCTCGGGGTAACGAAGGTACACCTTACGCGATCACGATCGGTCAACGCGCGAATCTCCCGATTTCGTACGGTACTGATTTTTTCCACCTCTGGATCGTCCATCAAGAAGAGTTCGTCGTATACGAGAATATCGTATGGCTTTCAATCTGCATTCTGCATTTCACTGAATACGAAAGGTGAAGAAAGAAACGGTGAAGAAGAGTACGAGGTCGGAACTGATGTTGTAAAATTCCGAGCAGAGTCATCATAATATCAAAATGGTGTTAAAATGGCTCCAAAATGATTATTAAAGTCACTTTTTGATCTGTCAAGTTTCACTTTAACGTCAAAAGAACATTATCGTGATTCGTTGTTCTGCTTGGGATGTTGCGAGTCTCTTGAATGTTTTTCTTACACTTCTTGCAAAGATTTCGATAACAGAATGCTGATCGACAGGAAATTTACACAAATACTTCGCATCGCTGTGCTGCACTTAAAAATTTCAAACGATTAAAAAGATGATATAAGCAAAAGAAGAAGAGGAATATAAACACACGTTAGGATGATGTTCGCGATGAGATCGAGGTAAGAAGATACGCATTACATGCTCTGCTTATTAATCACCTACATTTTTTTAAACGCGTAGTTTGTTTTATCGTATACTGCAAAAGAAAGGAAAAAAAAAAGATTAGTTGTAGTAACGCAAATTTCTTCAACTCGAAATCGTTCAGACCTTCTAAAGATTCTCGAACTTTCCTCCATATTTCTTCCTGTTAATTTCCGAGTTTATCTCACGTTACGTATTACTTCTAAACGCAATCACAAAAGTATTGGTAAGGCGAAAAACGATGAAAAACGAACACGTTTACTTCCCACGAAACGGGAGCGATTCTCTTATTTCTATTCCCACGAGCGCCTAGCGTGTAACCCTCGCACGGATGTTTGTACCTCGTGTCATCTCCACCCCCGTCCACGCACCAGCAGATCAAGAGACATTTTTTGCACGCAGGTCGGAAGGGGGAGAGATAATAAAGAAGGGGGGGACAAGTCGCCTACTGACCATGGGGACCCGCTGAGACAGCGGAGCGAGGAGAACGATGGCGCTGGACCATGAGGGGCAGCATCACCGCACCCGCATGAAGCTGGATTGGCCGGGGCCCTGGGTATGGGGGCGGTCTGGGCCGGCGTGACGTGGAAAATATAAGCCTGTGTGAGTGGCGGCTGATTAGCCAGAGGCTCGGGACGTAGAGTAGTGGCGAGAGTGTCCCGATAGAGAGAAGAGAGGACGGACGTTCTCTCGTTTCGAGGGAGACGTCGGTCGTCGGTTCGGTCCAGTTCTTCCAAGGTCCACCGCGAATAATCGGCCGGCGCATCGCGCGAGTTAACGCCGCTTAAAACTAATCAAAATTAATCATAACCCAGGCAACAATTGATCGCAATTGCCAAGCGCGCGCTCCATTACGAGCAATCGGGCAATCCGGCGACGCCGATCCTCTTCCTTTTTTTTTCTACCGACGGGAAGTGGAAAGAATCTCAATTTCAATTTAATTTCAAATCAACCGTGTCGGTCACTCGACTTCCGAAGATGTAAAATTGATAGAGAAGATCCAGAAAGGAAGCCTTCACGGAAGATAACAGAAGTGATTTGTGACATCCTGCTGTACGTTGGTTACTAAGTCAATTAAAATTCGAAAATTGAAAGTTGAGGTTCTGCAAGCTTGAGTTCATTGGGAATTGGAAAACAATTTGAATTTTTAATAAATTAAATACCCGTGCGAATTGAACGCAGAAGAAAAATAAAGACTGTAATGTGAAAAAAGAAAGAGCCAGTAGATAATTGATGATCAATCCAATTCAACATCTGAGAAAAACTTTCCCAGTATCTTATCTTCGGATCGATAGTGACATGTTTCTCTGAGACCAAGAAAAATATACTTCATAGAGGAAACATCGAAATTTTACGAAGCGTGCAAATCTCGGTTTGATTCTTTGAAGAAAGAAAAATTTTGAAAAAGGTTTCTCATTCAAGAGATTACGGAAGAAATTATCGAAGATGGACGGCGCACCTGCATGGGACGATCCGATTTTCTCGGACTTTGGGACTCGCGGCGGAACCACCGGGGCCCACAGTATCCAGGTGATGCTGAGCCTACAGGCAGGCGGAGGTCATCATGGAAGCGGCGATCTGATGCCGACCGGTGGCGGTCAGCTACACAAACTGGACTCCTCCAACAGCCCGTCACCGCATCATCAGGCAGCGTCGCAGCATCAGCATCACCTGCAGCAACAACAGCAACAGCAGAAAGAGCTCAAAGAGCTCGAGTTGTCCGGCATGTATGCGCCGTTGCCGCCACAGACCCAGGACGTCACCACTTCAACATCTACCAGCGTCACGCCGACCTCGACGAGTCTCCAGCAGGGTCTGCAACTCGGTAACGCGCTCAAGAGGAAGCCAGACGATCCAATCAACGCACTCGCGCCAGGTAACCATGCTTGATTATCTTCTCTATTTCCTTTTCGTCATTTTTTTCTTCGTGATGCGCTTGTCTTCCTTTCTACAGAAGTTGTCGAAGCTTTTTGTTACAGTTTCCTAATCTTATATATAATCTTGCTAAACTTTATAATTAACAAAGACGAAATATTAACTTTGCTTTGCAGTCAGTAGCGAAGCGCAGCCAGCCAAGAAGGACTCAAAGAAGAAGACTGATAACAATAACATCAAGAAGAAAAAGACGAGGTATACATGCATCCAATTGTTCGATCAATTTTATATTTAAATATGTCCTTTTTAAATATCTCATTAGTTTATTATTAAAATCTCTTAAGTCTCTGTTAAGACATCAATATAATTTTCATTTATAATATATTAAAATTAATATGGATAATAAAAAAAATAATAAATATGTAAAATTTTCTATTTTTATATTCAATCTCTTCGCAGAACAACTTTTACGTCCTACCAATTGGAAGAATTAGAAAGAGCCTTCGAACGAGCACCTTATCCGGATGTCTTTGCGCGCGATGAACTCGCGCTGAAGCTTGCTCTGTCAGAGACTCGCGTGCAAGTTTGGTTTCAGAATCGCCGTGCGAAGTGGCGAAAGAAAGAACCACCTCGCAAGACCGCCGGTTACATAGCCGCAGGTTCCGCCAGTCCCGGTTTGTCAGGTAAAATTGCATTTTTGTAAGACCCATACGTTCTTAAAAGTGTATCACAATCTTTTTAAAGAGAAAAAGAGTAGAGGAATACGCAAGAAATAATAGAGAGAGATTTAAATTTGAAATATTTTAAATTTTTACATTATATATTACTTTTCTGTATAATATATCAACTACATAAATATAAAAAATATATTATTTTTATATATACATACAAAATTGTATTTTGTTCAATGCAACACACGAGCATTATAAATTTATCATAATTATGGATGTCTTACTTTTAAGAGACACAGTTGATACAAACGTCGTTCTATCCTTTTTGGTTTCAATGAATAACAAAAGTAGAACGACATTGTTTAAAAGAAGACAGCAGCTATATTATGTCCATATTAAACGCGTTTAACTATAAACTATGAATTAATTTTATAGATTTACTGTTCCGGAATATTCGGCGCATTAAAAATACAAATCAAACTTTCTATGAATATTAAGGCCGCTGTCCGATTCGCGCTCACAACACTTAATCCTAGCTCATTCTTTTTTCCTACCCTTGATATACACACTCGAGTCCCTGGGAGCCCATCCATTTGTGACCATAACTTCCGTAAAAATAAACATATATCAATTTTTTTTTTCAATTGATGGAGAATTGATTAAGGAACAAGTCCATAATGTGTAAAAGTCGATAGAATTAAGCAGCTTCGATATATATTGGTTCAAAGAAAAAGAAAAGTTCAGAAACACAAACAAAATCTCAAATTGCACTGTGATTTCTGGGACCCCAATGTGTATAGTTAGGGTTAAGAATCATTTTATCCTTGTTTGTCAGATGTTAAACAAAAACAAATGATCGATGTTTGTGAGCGTTGTGAGTATGAACCGGTCCACGGTCTCAGCATTAACTCTCTTATGCTGGGTAAATTCCTACAAATAGCTTATATAGACTAGAAAAGATTTTCGAATCCAATTACTCTTCGATCTATCATGAAATAGAATCAATATAGGAACAATCATATTTATTATTGAAAAAAAGAAGAATAATTTATTCTTAAAAAAAAATTCTTAAATTTAGAGTAATATGATCAAGCACATCGGAGAGAGGAGGGTAATATATATATATATAAAATTAAGTAATAAATTAAATTTAAAATGTGTTAATTATTATTTCTCAAGACAGTATGTCAGTCTTATTTAATTTGAAGGAGGGGGGAGAGAGAGAGAATAGAAAATATTATTTTAATATTATTTTATTTTTATACTGCTAATATTATTTTTATATAAAAGGTTACGATAAGATCAAATACATCAAGAGAATATTTTTTCATTGTTAGAAATCCTTTCTGAGATGGTAAATTTTTTCTACTTTATTGGTACACGTTTCCTATGTTTTCAGGCTCCTTTACGTCGCTCAACAATACTCTAAATCCGTTTGCATCGCCGACGACGGCGACGGCGCCACCGGATGCCTGGGCGTACTCGTCGGCGTACGACCTGGGGCACTTGAATCTGCTGAATCCGTCGAATTCGCCATACTCGACCGCAGCAGCGGCGGCTGCGAGCTTCGGCAACAACGGCAGCGTCTCGTATTCGTCGTACGCGAGCATGTTGCCGACGCAGCACGACGCCGCGTTGTTCACCACGCCGACTGCCGCCGGCAACACCATGCGAGTCCATCAGGACTACATGAATCCTGGTGGCGGCAGTAGCCCGCCGCCACCCGGTGGTCCTCTCACCCGTGCCGACTATCAGACCATGGTGACGACGCACTCGCCGCCCACCCACCTGGGTAACTCCATGTCCGAGGACGAGCACGGTGGTTGCCTCGCAGACAAGTACGCGCACGACCAGTCCACGGCCGATTACGGCCAGCAGCAGCAACCGCCGCCGCAGAACGATCAGAAGCAGGACTACGGCATGCACTCGCCGCAGGCGCGCCAGGCCATGAAGGATCAGGTCATGGTAAAGAGCGAGCCCGGAAGCCAGCCGAGCTACGTGCAGCTGCCTCCTTTTCTGAACTGACTCGCGGCCTCCTCCACTCTAGATCTCTTCTAGGCGACTTTTGCGATCTATCCGCGTTTCGTGATGAGCGCGAGGAGTATTAGGTCTTGTTAGGTCGCGCAATTTCAACCGGGCTCGTACCGGCGCTACTTATACATCATCGTACGTGGCTTTCGATGGTGAACAAGCAAAATTCGATTTTAGTATAAGGTTGAGAAATAAATTTTACCGAAAAATTTTAACGAAAAAATGCTATTTAAATCATCAGCAATGAGCATCGATAAGATCTTAAACGATGCAGCATTTTAATTTTTTTTTTTTACTGAAATAAGGATATGGATAATAATAGGTGTTTTTTTTCAGCTAAAGTTCTTGCACGGTTCATCTTTTTTCCTTTTTTCTCCACATTGAAGAGAAAAAGAAAAAAGCTGAACCGTGCAAGAAGTTCAACTAAAAAGGACAGACCTAATAAGTCTTAAGAATCTTGAGCTCGAATATTCGAATTATTCGAATACGTTGATCACGTGATCACGTGATTACGTTGTGACAGCCGCGATGTTTCTGTACTTTGTTATTTGAGTGATCGCGAGTAACGTTTTACGTGGAAGAGTGACTTTCATCAAATTCCAAATAATTTAATCAACAATTAATTTAACAAATATAATGTACTTGTAATATTTTGTTAAAGTGGATAGAATGATCAATTTTTTATTGTTTCACATATAGAAAAAACGATCAGGAGATTAGGGACAACAGTATAGATTATAATATAGTAAAAAAACTTTACTATAAAACCAGATTAATTGTTGATTAAATTAGTTAGAATTTAATCGCAATCGTCCTAACGTCTACTTCTATATCAAAATAGATTAACTTTAATCTCGGTTTAAATTATCTATTTCTAGTTCTAAGTATTGGAACTAGAGAGAACAAAGAAAAATAAAGAAGAGTTAGAAGCTCTTCTAAGATTAAAAAGAATTAAGTTCTTCTAGAATATAATTCTAATTTTTAAAACTATAGAGATAAAGATAAAAAGTAAGTTAAATTAAGATTAAAGTTAATCTATTTCTATCGATAGAAATGGACATAAGTTGATTGAGCATCTATGTGTGAGAGAGAAAGAATATCGAAGAAAAAAGGATATAAGAAAATATATCCTGAGGACACATAAAATATTTTATTTAACAGAAGGAGGAGGGAATATTATATATATTTATATAAGAATTTTTTTGTATTTTCGCCGCTCTCTGATAACTTTATGTCTCGACATGCGATTGAAAATGCGAATTTGCGTAGAAATTGATAGAAATGAAGTTAAAATATAAAGTAAACTAAAATGAAGAATTAAATTCATTTCGCGGTAAGATTATGTAAAAAACAAATCGCTTTGAGTGACATCTCACGATAATTATCGATACTACGTTCGCATTCGAAAATGCTTTCTCTCGGTTGATAAGGATATATAAAAGATATTCTTGTACATACATACCTAATGAAAATAATTCTTATAACGTTATGCTATTAAAAATTATTCTGTTTGAGAAAAATAAATTTTTTGAATTTTTTAAATTCAACTAATAAGGGAAAGAAAAAGAAAAGTAGTAAAAGGAAAGAAAGGAGAGGAGAGAGGGAGTAAGAAAGAAAAAGGAAACTTGAACTAAATATGTTCAGATTTGTAATATAATTCGAAACAATTTTTTGTGCCTTGAATAACTATATGTCTTACGCGCAGTGCCTTTGCGTTAGAAAACAGTGAATCTTAATCGAAATAATCTCGCTTTCTGTATCTTGCAATATTCAGTTTCTATATAAAAATAATTTGTAATAAATGAAGAATGGGACAAAATTGATATAATCTCATTCTCATAGCATAGAATACAAATTTTATGCGCATAGTATCCAAAGATAATTTGTAATAAATAAAAATCAACGAACTCGATTTAATAACATATATTCTTCGCATTATTTTCCATTTCATAGTCTCGTTTGGAACATATTATATTTTTTCATATTATTATATTTCATTTTTACATATGTTGCATATGTTATAAATATACAATCTTTGTTTTCTGTAACATGAATTGCTGTAAAATATTCTGTACAAGTAAAAACGTTTATGTATATTATGTATATTATTGTTCCAACTATTTACATTAAGTATATTGTTACTGAATGCTACAACCTTATATCTGTATCATAATGATCAATATTACTGTTATCTTTCATATTGAAATTATTATTGATGTTTTCTAGAGTACTTGTACTATCATCAAATTTTTTTGTAGTATTTCTTTTTTCCAAAGATTGCTCCTTTGTGCTCTGTTCATGATGGTGTTTCATCCAAACACCATTACCTGTGAAATGACTATTTTTTTCCAACATGTATAGGCACAATGCGAGATACTGGCTATTAGTAAACGAGTATTCTGTATTCTGATATTGTCGTTTTAAATCAGCCAGTACTTTTTTCACTATCGATCTGCAGAATAAAAAAAAATAGGAAATTTTATTAGTCATCCATTCTAATATTGTAGTATATAACAGAAAATTTATAAAAAAAGAAGAAAATTTGAATATTGAAAAAGTCAGAAATAGAAACATTAAAAATAATTTAAACTATTACTACTCTTGAATATTCTAAATTGTTTAATTTATATAATAATTCTATTAAGTAAATATGGCCGTTACTGTTCATAAAGTACGATGTGTATATTGGAGCATATGTCATTTATCGTAAAATGTGTCTTTAAGTATTGTAACATTTGCATAATATCAATAAATGAAACCGTTTTCCAATGTTCATGCCTCCTTAGCAAATTGCTTTTATCTACTCCCAATTCCTGTATAAATATATGCTTTAAATTTTTTCGGGATGAAACTAAGCCGGTTTGCAAAGATCTAGAATAAATAAAATAAAAATAATATGTATATTATATACGTAATATTTATCAAATATATCAAACCGCACACATAGAGATTCTCAATATTTCAATTATTTTCAAAAATATCTATAAACTCTTTTACCTGTCCATTAATGAGTTTGAAGACAGGAACATTTGTGGCTTGATCCAATTACAAGAATTCATGATGTTAAAGTATTCTATGCGTCGTTTTATTTGGTTTATCCGGTATATAATTTGCAGTATTCGCGGATGCTTATACCACATCTTCAGATCCGGGTGCTGTTTTATCATTTCTAGTCGTTCTTGGACGTCTTCGTGATTTAATAGAAAAATATTCATGCAGTACTTCGCTTGGCAATATTTATTAGGTATTTCATACTTTTCGAACAACATCAGTAATCGTTTAACGTTAACTGCATCTTGTAAAAGTATAAAGGGATATTTTCTTAAAAACGTTACAATTGGTATTCCTAAGATTTCTGTAGAATTATTCAATAGCAATCTGATGTTATCGGCAGAAGCAATGATAACCGAAGGATTCCTTTTTATCTATTTAAAAAATAAATTTATGTAAAAAATATATTTTCTATATATAGAAGTAGTAAAAAAAAACTCAAAAATATCTAAGACCTTAACTAAGATTAGATAAAGAAATAATTTAAAGCAAAAACTAAAAAAAAAGAATTAAATGAATAGTCGCATTTGCTTTCATTCCTTTAAACAAAACTTAACTACTGTTGAGAAAAATTTATTTAGAAAAAATTCATACAATGGAATTTTTAACACTAAAAAGCTATATTTACCATTTTTTCATCATAATGGAGATCAAGCCTGAGTACTTTCAATGTCTCTGCAATCATTCTTATACTCTTCATTTTTATGTAACTGTGCAATAATATCTTATCGTCTAGATATGGCAGATTGAATATCTGATTTTTGCAATACAAAAGACATGTTTGATAGTATTCCTGGACAGTCAATTTATCATTCAATTCCAATTTAGAAATGTCTTTAGGAACTTCACCACCAAATATATTCTCGGCGATATTTTGCTGTTCTGGAATATTAACTTTATTTTTGAACATTGATAATTTTGTGCGAAGATGATAGAGTGTACTGCAATTTAAAAAGTTATTAAAAGAAATATATTCATTTCTCACAGAAAAATAATTTCATCAATATGTAATCAACTTACTGATTCAATAAAGATGTACTTATAACTGGCACTCCTAATTCTTTTAATACATTAATTTTATGTTCTAATGTATAGTCATGCAATCTCAGACAATAGTGAAGTTTCTCACTAAATTCCACTTTAATATTATATTTCTGAAAAATTAAATAAAATATTATATTTTGTTTACAAATAAAAAAAGAAAAGATCAAATTTATTTTGAAAGAAATATTATATTCCAAAGACTGCAAAAAATAAACAAAAAAGAAACTAAAAATTTTAAAAAGTAAATATAAAGATTCTGAAAAGAAAACTTTTAAAGATATGCTTCTTTTAAAATAAATAAATATTTATATTACAATTGGGTAAATTCAAACTAAGTACAGCTTTAGTTAGCAATTCTTTTTAATGATCTCTCGATTCTATTAATTATATTATGAATGAAATTCATTAATAATAGAATTATATTATGAAAAAAAATTAAATTAATTATTAATCCACGTACTGTTTGTCTTTTAAAGAAACAAAAAAATTATTCTTAATTACATCATATAAATTTAATAAGTTATATTTGTATATCTTACCTGACATATCAAACAATTTTTTATTATTCGATGATGAAAAACACTAAGAGCATATTTGTTTGTATCAAAAAATTTGTCCATATCAGTAGAAGTTAAATTCAAGTTTGTCATGAGGATATTCCGAAATTGTTTCTGTTTTATAATAGACGACGTTTTGAGCCAGCCTTTATAAGTGAACCTCATTATTAAAAAATATTGTATATATATTTATGTATATACTTATATTTATAATTATTTTCTCAAATTTTGACTTAATGAATTTTTTTTAATTCATGGCAATTACGTGTACTCAATGCTCGATAGTACCGTAAATAAACTGAAATCACAAGACATTTGTTAGGTTAGGATTCCAATCCCTATTCAAACCTAACCCCAGTGTTGCTAGAGATAAAAAAATTAGTTCCCTACCAAAATAATAAAAAGTCCCTACATTTACCTACAGAACAATTTTTAAATCTCTACAGTTACCCTACATAGGACAATCGATAATACAAAACAATAAACACTAAAAATATGCATATGAGTATATAATTTATTTATTTATAGCGTTTTTGATTGGGAAAAGTTAGTGCGCTCCAGTGCGCACTCAGTTCACATCAATACTGGACGAGTTCCATAGGTTGCACTGAATAGTGCAAGTTCAAAAGAACACGCCAAGATTTTCAATGCTAAAGCTGAAGTGCCATTGAATGTGACGTTGAATCAACATCGATTTGACGTTCATCGACTAACCATTAATGGCTTAGCTGGAAAACCAGCTTACTCCCGACATGGTTACAGTCTCTACTGCTAATGCATTCAATACTATAACCGCTCAGTAAGCTCTTGCATCTGAGCATTGGTATATTCCGTTAGAGCTAAAAATATAGACCAATCTAAATGTTAAACGAGGATGATGAATCCGAGACATCGGAGGCATCCGAGCGACGCTTCCGAACGCAATTAATGTCGGTTGCCGTACGCAAAAATTGTATTTGTCCAATTTATCAAAATATCCCTATATTTTTCGAAATTTAGCCAAATCCTCCCTACGTCCTTTTTGCGGTTAAATGTCCCTACGATAGGGAGAATTCCCTACGACTGGCAACACTGCCTAACCCTAATAAATTTATTCTGGAACGTTCCGTTTTCGCACAATGCATTTTATCCTTCTTTAATAATAAAGGTGAGCAACAAGGAAAAAATGATACATCATGCGCATCATGCGTGAAACGGAACTTTCTTGGATTCTGCAGTCTTGTTCTAATGGGTGCATTGGCTGCGTTCAGCAGACTCAACAGTTTTGCAACCGTTTTATGATTGGCTGCGTTCAGCAGAACGTTTGTTTTGCAACTGTTGTAAGTTTCCTTCGCGCTAATTGGATCATACTTTTAGATCTAGAAGAATGGTCCTATCTCAGCAGACAATCATAAAACGGTTGCAAAACTGTTGAGTCTGCTGACCGCAGCCAATCAATCAGAGAGCCGTATTAGCATCTTAAGGCCATACACCGCTCACTGAGTACTCAGTGAGCTCTCGCATCTGATTGGCATATTCTGTTAGAACTAAAAATATAGACCAAACAGATACAAGAGCTCACTGAGCGCTTAGTGAGCGGTCGTGATACTGAATTCACTCAATGCTTTCTCCAAATTCTAAAAGAACACGATATATGCCAGAAGTGCCAGAACGAATGGTGAAACATTAAATGAAAAATAGGAATATTAGGAGTGATGGTACTGCAATAGAGATGTATGAACAGTTGTCTTTTTATAATAAATGATTAAATTATTTATCCAATGATATTAAATAAGATAGAAAAAACCATATAATATAATGCAGTATATATGATTGTGTGCAGATCAATGATACACTTAATATATTTTTTTATAAATAAGCATTGCTGTCAAAGTATAGAACTTACAAAATAGTATAATTGCATTCAGAATACATAGTTTGTCAGAATACAAAAAATGCATACTAACTAGAGAAAGAAATTCATTAGATTCGAATCAGTATTTGTTAGTAGAATCTGCCGATATTATCATTAATAGCAGATAGTGTCATTAATATAAAATTTAAATTTGCAAAATTACATAAAAAAAACACATGCAATTTAAAAAACTAAGGCCTTAGCAGAAACATGTTTTATTTTTTACAATTTATATCAACAGCATTGCATCAACCCTGTATTAAAAAGTAAATTATAATACATGTTAGATATGTAAAATGCTAATTGATATTAATTGTCATTAGAAAACTTAGTATCAGTTATTTTCTCTAAGTGAAACTTTTACTATTTTTTTTACACAATAGTTTTAAAAAGTTTATTTCAACGATCATATATAAACGCAATCAAGAGAGATGATGTTAGTCACTTAATTATGACTCCGAAAAATAAAAGGTTTTTGAACATATTTGCTCCAGTAGACTGTACCAATGATCTCAAGTCAAGATAAGTTTAAAAAAGTAACTTACACCACTATCACTTTTATCCCTTTACATATTAATCAATATCAATCTTGTGTTATATTCGATTAATGTAAATTATTTTGTGCAAAATTATCAAATAACCTAATTCGTACGTATTTACATTAAAATATTATATTCGGCAATTTCTGTATTTTACGTTCGTTTTCGTTTTTGGATATCATACATTTGTTTTCATCTTTCTTCGAATAAATGTACACAATAGTTAAATGTCTTTCCGTTTGGAGTTAATTGCGTTTCAAGCGGGCACATTGCATTAGGTACTCGTATATACGTTAGTCAGATACATGTTCAGTCAGACAACCATTACTTCAAAGCTATCCATCAGAAATTCAGAATGACATTTTATCATAATTTTATCATAATTTTTATCATAATTGAAACTCTTAAACTGTTCTTTCCAAACAGAAGACATTAATGATCGTTTGTATACGTATTTACACCTCAGAAGGTTTAATTCGTAAAATCACAGGAACACTAGTGCATGGCAGAATCGCTAATTCTGTGACGACAGCCGTTACAAGATCGGCTGGTGTCACGTCGTAAGTAATGTTCAAAAGGTTTAATGATTTCTTCGTTCGCCAATTCGAGAGTAAAGACCGTTTCGAACTACTATTTGATTGATGATTCACGAGATCATCTGCGTTACCTAAAACAAAGTAGAACGAAATGAGTAAGCAGTATCATAAAATAGAAGAAAATTAGATAACACTGGATAAAAATTATGATCATTTTTGAAAAATAATAATATAAATGTAATAAATGTAATAAATAAAATATCAATTTTTTAATACAAGACGGAATTATATATTAATAATACAATATTAATATAATTTACATAAAATTGACATAAATAATACATATATGTAAAAACATAAACATACAAATGAAGTACAATCTAGAGATATTTATGATTTATTATATTTTATTTTGCCTCTTTATTTACCTAATTCATTATGAACGATAGAGTCGGTCTGTACTCGTTCAGACGATTTATGTGTTTCGCACGCTACTAAAACAGGAACGTTAAAAGCTTTTGCCATTAAAGCAACCTGCGCCGTTCCTACTCTTGACATTACTGCTCCGTTAGCTAATATCGCGTGGGCACCTAGAAAGACTTTACTGACCTAGACAAGTGAAATAATAGATCAGCTTAGCATCACAAATAGAAATTAGAAAATTAAAAGTAGATATTTGAAGAATTTATATATTTCTATATTTATTCCTAAATCTATATTTAAAACAAAGAGAAATTATATATTTATATATGTAAAATTGTTTTTTAAATATTAAATAATTTCCTAATGTGTACAACATTATTTTCAAGACATTTATGAATTAAACAAATTTTTGGAAATAAGTTTTTCAATTCACTGTAAGCATAATTACTTACTTCTGGCATAATGAAACTGAGAGCATTGATTAATATATATGAACACTCAATCCCGTGTTTCGCCAAACGTCTGAGCTGTTCTTTTCCTTCTAGCCATGGTCTACCATCAACCACAACCACACGAAACTGCTTGCCTGCAGCATGTGCTTCCACTAATATCTTGTGAATTAAGGATGAACTGAAATGTATTTTATTATCAGACACAATATTCTGTTACATGTTCTTTTCTTATAAAAATTCACTGAAATAAGGAATATAAATATATTATTATATATCTTAGAAATAATAAATCTTTAAAAAATAATAAAATAAGTAATAAAAATATTTAAAATAAGATATAATAAATTTTCAAAAAGAAAATTAATTCGTAGATTATATTTTATAAATAAGTCATAAAATATACTTACTAGCCATATGTTAAAATAACATTTCCATCCGATATTTTACTCTGTATTGTTAACGATATAGCTTTGTCAGCCAGCTGAATTTGTTCCGAGATGTAAGTATCTATTATTCCTTGTAGCTTATTTTTTGCCTATAATACATCATATTAAATAAATTATTTAGTTATATAATAAACTATTATATAATAAACTATCAATAAACTATTAAGTATTAAGCCAGTAACTAAAAGAGATTTAAATTAAAAGAACATGCATATTTTACAAATTCTCTCAAATTTCCCTTTGTTTCTTATATCCTTTCTTATTATCTGTACATATATATATTTAAAAGTCTTTGATTTAGATAGATTTGTACAAAATAAAAGAATAATTAAATTAAAAATATAATTATATAACAAGAGCAAAATGTTACAAAATCATTTACTTTTTCATCCGATAATGTAGAAGGAAACTGTGTCATCTGCCACGTAAGGTGACGCATAGCATTATGCATCGAGACGCCCAATGGTCTGCAATGGCAAAGATACTTCAGCGATTCTTTCAAGTTTGCCTCGAGACCACGTATGAAATCTTCATGTATCGGCTTCTCGAAATCCTGGATCACCTGTTTGACAGCAGCTAAAAGCCCGACACATCTCGCGTTACTACCAACGATAACTTTATTAGCATACTGAACACCTAGTCTAACTATCGCTGGATGTATATTTGAGTTTACTATGGCAATATTGAATAAAGAACGCTCCCTTTCTTGATATAAGTGTTTAAATAAATTAACAGTATGCGCATTCTCTCTCATTGCATTGTTCACGATACTTTTCTTCACTGGACATTCGGATACAGTTTCTACACGTGGTTTGAGAGATTCTTCACTTTTGATATTATTCTTTGCTAACTGTTGCTGCTTGGCAGCTCTCTGG